CAACTTGCTCAAAGAATACATCCCTCACAGACATTCATATGCGCAGTTGCTGTAATTCTTCCTGGGCGAAGCGTCGAAAAATTAAAATTTTTCATGCTTTTGCCGAAGTGAAGCTGGGCTGTTCCGGCGTGAGTAATTGCATACAACTTTGCCCGGGGAAGTATAACTGTAGATTCTCAGCTTCTCAAGAAATATCAAATTTAACTTTTTTCTTTTGTTTTCTGAATTGAAATTGATATGTTGACGATGAAGAGATATGTATTAAGTTGATGCATGATTTCTGCGCCAAAATAAGTACATACAGTAATGATCCGGAATTCTCCTATATCTATTAGGTCGTGTAATAAGTTCTGTCCCATTTTTTGTTTTAGTTTCTTGCCAACATTGACTATATCTGAGATAAAGTGAATGCGATTTTGAAAGCTCTAAGTCTGTTCTACAGGCTCATACCAGGCATCACCAACATAGCAGGAAATTGAAAAAGATTTCATCATTGATATAAAAAATCCAAAGAGCCGAAAAATCAATTTTCGACATCTTTTTTCCTCCAAATTTTTCTCGATTTTTATTGGTGTAACATATGAAACGAGCATGACAACAAGCAAAACAATCTATTAGACTTTTACACTTATTCTATCGCTGTTTGCGCATGTTCCCTTCCTTCCATCGGCTACTTAATGACATTTTTTAGAAGTCGGCAAGGCAAGACTTCGTTACGGCGATGTTCGCCGTCTCGCGTACCCAAGCTGTGTAGCTCCCAAAATTAGCATTTCGAGTATTTAACCTACGAATTCGATAATTTTGAAGCCACAAACCATCCCTTCTGTCTTTTCTGGATGATCCGCCTACCGTCTTCCTCAGGATGCTTTCAGATGATGCCCAACACCAACGTTAAAAAGGCGTTAGAAAGAAGAATTTTCTAAAGTCTACAGAAATGATTTTTGAAAAGTTTCAGCACTCCTGAAGCGCAATAGAAGTTAGAGCATTCTTTGCTCACGTGTAGCAATTTCTTCAAGCTTATTCGTAGGCAATCTGACTAATTAGGAAGGCGACGTAACGTAGTTGTCGAAAATGAACTTTTTCCCTGTTTAATTCCAAATTTGACGCTGTAGAACATTTTCATGTCATCTGATGTAGAAAACCGAATTGAAAGTTTTAGTAGAGAAGGCTTAAAGCTTTCAAATGCATATAAACAATTTACAGAACATCGCGGGAAATATTGAGAAAAAATCGAAAGAAAAAATGGGACAGAACTTATTACACAACCTAATAAATAGGATTTGATATATCATTAGATAGAGCAAACCTAGCTCTACAAGATCTCAGATAACCGCCGGGGGCAGGCGGCCATGCGAATTTTGAGCAAGCGCGCACCGGAAAAATAGTTCGTTGATTTTTTGCGGCCCGCTTGCAGAAATTTGGAAGAAAGTTGGCGAAATTAAAGACGAATACTTGAAGAACAATCGCGGTTTCTTTATGGATTAGCTGCGGCGCAGTGGCCGCACTCTCGCGGACTTTCCGCGAGAATATGCAAAAATTTCGGGGGCCGCACGGTCCTTTGTGGAGGACCGCGCAACCCCCAGGTACTTTCCGCTGAGAGAAAGTACCTCAAACTTGAGTAATTAAACCAACGGTGACACCTCTGCCACACAGAGTCTTACCTGCGCTCGACGTACGCCCGAAAATGCCTAAAAAGAGTACGAGCGCTTGCTGGAAGTTTGGGCAGCGCTCGCTGAAAGAAATTATTTGCCGAGCGCTTGCAAAAAATGCTGTATTGCTGCCCGCTGGCAGAATATGGAAGTGCCGCCCGCTGAAGGTTTGGCCACGCCCCAAAATTCTGCTGACCGCCTACAGAAAAGCGCGAGTTTGCGGACCGCCTGCCCCCGGCGATTATCTGAGATAGTGCTCAAATATCTACACTAGCTTTGATGCATGCGAGATTTTAGACCAAAAACTGAATAAAAAACCATGCGTCAGAAAACCTTAAAACATATTAAAACAAAATTGTAACTTCGTTCAAAAAACTCCTACAAAGGTTCTTGCCTGCTCACGCGTAGACGTTCCACGAAAGACATTTGTCTATGTAGTTGCTGTGTTTTTTTCTCAGCTAAACAATGAGAAAACGAAGTTTTTCTTGTTTTTGCCAAATTAGTGCTGAGATGTTCTAGCACTAACTGTTGTATACATGCCTTTAGCAGTGAAACTTTACATTTCTAGCTTTGTATAAGAGCTAGTTCGCGAGAAATATTGAATCTAGCTCTCTCCATCCCAACTTTTTTGCCGATTTGCCAAAAATTCGATATTTCTCGTAAAAGCTGCTGTAAAAAGTTGAAAATTCATAATCATGCTTCTAACAGGGGAGGTCCGTTTGGTCGAAGTGGCCTTGTCAAATGAAATTGATACGACTATAAAGAGCATCAAACGCACATTCCAAATCTATCTTTGTTATCTGCCGGGCGCCTCTACAATCGTCGAGTTATGAGCATTTTTTGAGTTAAAAAATTGAATGCTTAATCAGCACAAAATTCGTCAGAATTGCTCAAATGGTACAATGTTAATTATCAGAGCACCCCATCTCAACAATACCTTCTGTCCAAAACGCTCATGCTTATCACTGCTCTATTTGAGCGCTGAAAAGACCGTAAAATTTGATTTTACCTATATCATGCGTTCATTTTTACCCCCAAGAAAATATTCTTAACTCGGCATACAGAAGCGCTCGGCAGTTAGCGTTTGATGCTTTTCAAAGCGGTGTAAGACTCATTTGGAAAGGCCACTTCGACTAGTCGGACCCCCCTTGTAAGGTCCTGTAGTATACAATTGTCAGTGTTCGAACATCTCAGCATTGTTTTGGAAAAAACATGAAAAACTTCCTTTTTTCGGTTTCTAGCTGAGAGAAAAATACAGCAATTACATAAAGAAATGTCTTATACAAATTGCCAATGCATGAGCAAGTTAGAATTTTTGGAGGACTTTTTTGTACGGACTTCCAATTTTTTTCTTAGTTTTTGGGGCGCTAGGATTTTTTTCGTTTTTGGCTTCAATCCTCGCTTGGATCAAAGCTGCTGTAAAACCTTAAGCACTTTCTTGTAGAGCTAGCTTTGCTCTACCGAATGGTGTATCAGGAATTATCTTGTATATAAAGCTGAATGTCTGTTTGTATGTATGTCTGTCTGTCTGTCTGTATGTATGTCTGTCTGTGTGTACGTATGTTCCGAATAGAAAATTCCATTTCTGAACCGATCCGGACCAAACTTGGCACACATACACTTCGGGCCCCGGCGGGTGTCATAGGCTACTTTTCGTATCGATCGATATCGATTTTTTGCAAAATTTGAGCTACGGGGCTGGGAGTTGGCACAGGGGGGTAAGTGAGCATGCTCGATTACACCCCTCTGCCAAATTCCGGCCCCCTAGCTCAAACTTTGCAAAAAATCGAAAAAATCGATAAAAGTAATGCACGGTTTCGAAAACTAATATTGTATTCGTAATCAGCATGCTCGATTACACCCCTCTGCCAACTCCCAGCCCCGTAGCTCAAACTTTGCAAAAAATCGATAAAATCGACATCGATCGATAACGAAAAGTGGACTGTGACACCCGCCGGGGCCCGAAGGGTATGTGTGCCAAGCTTGGTCCGGATCGGTTAAGAAATGGAATTTTCTATTCGGAACATACGGCGGAGCCGGGCAAGCCAGCTAGTTTAGGATATAGAAAAAAATATGTATTAACGCTGTCTGTACGGTTTTGGTGTCTAAAAGTGGGTAATCAATTTCGTTTTAAATATCTTGCCTGTAATAAATGAAAAAAGCCAGTGAGATTCTGCCTAGGCATTTTTAGAGCTTTTCGCTGATTAATGCTTGACTATTCTAGACATTCAAACGCCGATAACTTCATTCGGAGAGTTGAAAAAAAAGGAAAACAGATTTGGGATTAGCGTTTAGAGATGCGTCTAGTGATATACATGCATATCGTCTTCGATGCCAGCTTATGTTCGTACTCTTCCCTTGTGAGGTCATAGTGATGGCTTGCTCAAATGTGTCGGCAAGAGAAGCCGAATTGATTGGTTTTCTAGTTAAGTTTAAAAAATTTCAAATTTTTTGTCGAATCCGCCACAGTAGTGTTTGGACTACTGCTACGTAGAAGTTTTAGAGATTCTTGGATTTATTTTGTGAGTATCTAAAACTAGCTGAACGCCTTAGACTAGAGTCATACTTGCCGGATCGCATCTGGATTGGACTGGATTTTATCCAAATTCGACGATATAATGCAAAGGCCGCGACAAAGGGCGTAAGAGGCCGCGACAAGCACGAATAGGAAGCAAGAGTATTATCGCATACGATAAGTATCTCGAACAAATCTGTGTAGAATCCGATTTGTTATGTGCGGGTGACATGCTCATTACCTTTAGTCGCAAAACCGTCTACTGTGGCATGGAAGATTTAAAATGCTAATGGAGCGGTATACACTCCACTTGAAATCGAGCGCAATTTTATGAGAATAATGCACTCTCAAACTTAGACGTCGTCCAGTCGCGCCAACTTTTGCAGACCGGATGTCCATCTGGAAACCCTTCCGCATGGATGACGTCTCTTTTGAAGGGTTGAGCAGTATTCTATATCGTTAATAATTTTGTTTGAAGAGAAAGAAACTGAAACTTCATTTTTGCAAATGATATGACACACAACAATTTGCTTGAGTCTCTAGCATTCTTTGCTCCTTTTTTTGGAGACATCACTTCGCTAGAAAATACAATTGAATCTTATTTTGTTTTTTGAGCATAGTTTTTCAAACATCCGATAAAAAATTTGTCTTCTCATCATTCGACTGCCCAAATGTTGAGTGCAGTGAGATTATCAGTGCAGCTAAGAGCAAACAATTATCACATCTATGATTTGACGGAATTTCCATACTGTCTAAAAAAACTCAAATATAACTTAAGGCATCACATATCAACCCGATTAAAACCATCTGATTAGGTGCTCAATCACAACAGTAAGTCACTGTGGCTCAATTCTGAAGCGCACGATTTCTTGCTCCCGGAAGCATTTGTAAACCTGAAAAGAAATGAGCCAATATACAGAAATATGAATCTGAGCTATATGCTGAGCTTACGTTTTGACCGAGTTTCACCTCCGTGTTCACGTCGATTTTTGTTTTGTCGTCGATCAAGCAATTCAGAATGATGACAGAACCGTCATTCATACACTTCTTTGTGAAACGATTTTCAGAGATCCAACTAAATAAAGTGGATTGAGATGACTCTATGAATATGAAGCGAATAAAAGCGAATATGAATAAGAATGTGAATATGAACTAGTACATATAGTACTCTGAAGCGGGTAAAAGTGGATATTGTTAAGTGTGGGATAAAGCGTAGAAGACACAGAAAATAAACGGCCTCTTTTGACATTAATGTGACATTTTCAAAGCAATCTATCTTAGCCATGTGAGATACATTCCTTGTGTTGTTGCGCAACGAAAATTTAGAGCTATGATTTTGAAAAATACAAGGATTCGTATTGTTTGATACTGCTGTCATGTTTGCGAACTCCGGAGGTTTTAGTTCTAATCGTAAGCATCGAATAATAAATCTTCAGCCAATTTTACTTCTCTCAATCAGAATACAGGCAGCATACACGGTGTCCCCAAAAGATGTTCCTGCTGTTTGATTGTTGCTGACTCTCGTGTAATGAAGTCTTCGAGAAGCTCTAGGTACCGTTTTGTAAAGCTGGCTTCAACTTAGAATTACATTATAGCACGAATCACCGATCGCTCTTCATTACTGTAGGATTTTGGTGGAAACTCCAAGCACATGGTGTCACCTTGAAATAAGCTGTCGCTTCAACTATTTTCAAAAAATGTGAAAACTTTTGCAAGTGGTTTTCATGGACGCCGAGTTCAATACTCAACAATGTTGAAGGATGCGAAGCTTACTGTGTAACAGCACTTTTTAGGAACACTGAAAAAACGGCCGCTACTGCTTCCCTCGCATAACTTTTTGATGAAGCATTATATGAGTTGCGGCTTCAAATTTAAAATCAGCAACTCTAATTAGCTCAGTGCAAGAGTTTTCAAGTTGTATTCTTTCCTTTCTGAGATATAATATGGCCTTTCACGGCTCAAAACTCTCTTCAATGTTTCTACCATAATCCTACAGTAATGAAAGCAGTGGGTAATCCTCTCCACAGTGTGAATCTGAACTGAAGCTAGCTCTACGAAATGTTACCCAAAAAAAACTTTATTGCGAGAGAGTTATTAACAGTCAAAAGTACGCGCGTTTATTTGGGATCCCCTGTATGTAACTCTTGGGTTAGGTTAGCTCTTGTAAATGCGAAATGCCAGGTACTCTTTTTGGGATACCCTGTTTGAACTCACGTTTCCCCAAGCTGGTGGATTTGACCGTTGCTGGCGCATGTTTTCGGTGAATCTCTTTTGACCAAACGTTCCGTCAAGAGTGCGGCGTGAACATTTATTGTCGGCCTGCGATCACCTTCTGTCTCTGCTGGCAGCAGCTGAAAACATATGTTTGTGATCCTACTCACATGCATTCAATCAACGAACCAGTTATGTTTGAGTAAGCGGTTGTAAGAGCTTGTTGAACTAGCAAAGCTGTAAGGGAAGTTTTTTCGTTGACCCTCATCTGATAGCTATGAATTCGGGAATCAATGATCAAAAGCATTCTTGCTTTACTCAGTTTCTCAAACAGAGGAAGAGCCATTGGTAGTAAGCGTTTGTTATAGCAAAGTAATATAGAGGGTCTAAACAAAAGGAAGCACACACGCACTTACACTTCCAATGGGACCGAAGTTTTTCCACATAGGTCCAAACACCTCGACTGGTTTTAGCTGAAATGCACATCATCACCTAATGACAGGCATGCGGACGGGTTACGAGGTTGGAGCGTTACCTAACATAGTCCAAAAAATCACGTCATTTATTATGGTATCATTCTCGCTGACTAGGATTCTATAGAGCAAAATAATGAGTTTTAGCCTTTTGATCAAGCGAGTTCTTCTCACACTCCTTTGGGGTCTGCTCTCAGGTAACAAAAACTTGAAAGCTGAGGGGAGCTGATGTGTACAAATTTAATTTATTCTTGATTTTCTCTTGCACAATATCGCTTATCTCCAGCCACTTCATTTTTTTTCTCAAGGACGCAATGATTTTCCTCAAAAGGAACGCACACGTTTGTTGCTCTTTCGATTCAAAGAAAAGATAAATAAAATATTAATTTCGCTTAACACAGTAAAATGCAATGCACACTGGATACTTTACCCAAAATTTCGAAGAAATTTCGGAAGGACAATCGTGAGCATATCAAGAAATCTCGAATGCTAAAGCATGCTAACTGTATACAGCTACAGTCGATTACGCAGACCAGAAAGTAGAGAAATTAAAAAAATGGTCCACTCTATAGGCGACCTAATGTATCTGAAAAGGATAGCGAATAGTGACCATTTGCAACATCCATCTGCAACTTATAGTTGACTGAGACTGAGGAGACAAAAAGTTATAGTTCAATACTATTTTAACATTTACGAGTATGAGGATAGCGCTTTCAAACAAGCTATAAATAGCTCACATCGCTCTTGAAGTTGGTTGGAGTAGGTAAGCCTTCTCGATTGATCGTCACTGTGCCATTAGGAAAGCGCGTGCAACTAAAAAGCAGTTGCAGGATATGAAAAAATATTACAAATTTTGCATCAACAGATCACTATTTTATCTTGTTTTGAATCATTAAGCTTGCGCGAGCGAAAAAACTCGTTCACTGTTTGGAAATGCGCACTCTTGAAAAAGACAAAAAAGCCTACTCCTTGAAGTTAGCTAAGCCGTTGGCACTAAATTTTTCACCTTTTTTTCTGAAATAAATAAGTTGAGATCTCACGTGTACTCAATGCCTGATAGAACCAAATGCTCGTTGAGCGGAATATCAATGCCAGCATCAGTTACACATGCAATTATACGTGCTCCTTTTTCAGTGCATGTCTTGCGGAAATTTCGTTGCGAAACCCATTCTTCTCCTGGAATTTCATCAACTCAGTCTTTCTTGGAAGTAACTGCTAGTTTAGAAAGTCTCACCTATATCATGTCCTTCGCAGCTTTCTTGCCTCCTTGATTTCTGATAGGTCTTTTTGATCTCCACTTTTCCATCTCTCAATGCCCTGCATTCGTATGTCTATAAAGTTTGTAGAGTGAGTATTGGTAAGATTTGTTCAGCAGTAACAACAAATTTATATGGGGACAATAGGCTTCCGTTGATCAGCGATTACCGAGATGGATGGAGTAGATAATGCCAAGAGAAACCCAATAGGCTAAGGTAGTATATAAATTGTATTCTAGGGCTCATCACATGAAAATCAATTTTGTGTTTATGTTATATGTACCGTTTAGAGTTAGCTAGGAGAAACTCGAAGCATTAATCACATGCTAAGAAAAAGAGGAATACCACCAAAACATACAGTTGTTTCAATTTATGCTCAAAATACGATACGATTGCTACTTTTTCTGATTTAATTCAAGCTTTTACTAGTGTTATCTTACTATGTGGTCTTTACTTATGTCAGGCATCAGAATGAACATACAGTATCTCCTTCCGATATGACCTCTCCAGGCTTCACGACAACTCCTCTTGCTGTCCTGCATCCAATTATTATTGTATTCCACGATCCATCTGGTCTTATCCGGCATTTCATTACAAATGTCGACCGCACCACCTGTGAGAAAAAGACGTATACGATCAAGGAAAGTACAAAGATGTAGCATCACTATCGTATAAACAGGTTTTCAGAGATCTTTAGAAGACTTGCGGTGATGGACTGCGTTTTTTACGTGAACAGAAAGGTCAAGGGAAATCGTCAAAGTGATCTGCATCTGCTTACCCATGTATCGCCATCCTTGTATTTCTCATTTTTATGCACACATGGTGAAACGAGATAACAAATCGTCAACAACAGAACTGTTCTCATTTCTGAAATTGTTGCTTTGGTAAAATTAGCGAACGAGGAGGAAAGGTAACGGTACAAATATATAGGCGTTTGATAATCAGCACTGAATGAAAAGAAGGCTTTCCATGTGAGGCGAAAAACTAGAGATAACAACTTATTTCAGGCGTGAGAAGTCTACTTTGTTAAACAGTTTTTTACACTTACCTTAGATTCGGATAAACTCTCTTTGACATATACAAGGAAAGGATGAGGAGCTATCTATTGACATCATTTTTGCCTTCACGAACTTGAGTCACAGTTAATATAAATGTCGCTAGTAACTCCACATATCTTTAAATTTTTTTAAAAATTCTTTCGTTCTTCTTTCTCATCTCTTTGATTTTTTTATGGGCCCCCGCGAGCCTCTGCCGTAATATGAAAGCAGATTGGAAGTTCAAGCACCTCAAAATACAAATTCAAAATTTGCCAAAAAATTACTCTAAATTGCCAAAAATGACTAAAAATTTTCAAAGACTCAAATTCAAATTTGCAAGCGTGACATGTATAAATAGGAATTCCATAAATCCACATATTTTGGAAACAAAAATTTCTGAGAAGTTAGGAAGATTTTTATTTTGAATGTAACAAAACCTATGTCCGAAATTTTGTAGCGAAACTTGTCGGAACGAGTTCCTAGCAAACAGAAGAAAACTACATATAGTCTACTTGCATCTGCAACGATAAACCGGGTTAGGGTGTTACTATTCTTGCGGATAGAGAGAGAAGTTTATGGTCCTAATATTAGGTCACTCCAAAAGTTCGTTCTTTGTTCTTTACCAAGTTTGAGACAGACGTCTGCTAAAAAGACCTAAAATGAGATTCAAAATACAGTACACATTGCTTGCTTCTTTTAGCAGCCAAGATTGAAACCTGAATGCAGGGATTGTGTCATACTTTACTTCACTCCTCCGTTTTCATTTTGTACATTGAGTTTCGTGAAGACGAAAAACAAGCATCAGATAAAGCAATGATTACCTTTTTTGCAGAGACCTTTTTGATCTAATTCTCTTTTTTTAAATTTTGAACATTGATTTCTCTACGGGACCCTTCATTTTCGATAGTCTTCAAATGAGAAATTTTCCGAAGTGTGTAGAACTCGCGAATTTTAACTTTTCGCAGTTCTATCTTTTCATTCTTTTTTTCAATAGTATGTCTCTGTGGCAGTTCAATTGATGATTTCTAGGGAGTTTACCAAAAAGTACGACCCAGGGTATCTACTACGGTAAGTTTCGCTAATTTTCTTTTTCGGCATGATTCCCCAATAAGGTCCAAGCAATGGGTAAATAGTGCAAACCTTTTGGATACAAACAAAAGTGTTTTGTAACCTACAGGCTTTGCTCTACTTATCCGCTGCTTCGATTTCTTGGAGGAATCAGCACAAAAAAATTAAAAAACAAGCAAAATTTGATCTTGGTAAAAACCATGGGTCGTGAATTTTTGGTAATTTTCTGGAAGCCCGCTTGTTAAACTGTAATATTGAGAACTGCATTGAATGGTACCAAAATCTTTTATGAATTTTTGTCCCGCAAATGTGGCGCTTATACAAGAAAAAGCGAGATTGCTTTCGGGACGACCTAATACAAAATTTAGGGCGGCCATATTGAACGAATGTTTGGTGGGCAACAAGCAACTTCAAATCGTCTGAACACAAATGCAAACGTACAAAACCTCTTACTTCATAAATGCCAAATCTTTCAAAATCGTAAGTCTCAGGGAGATGCGGATGAAAAAAGGCAAAAATTTTTGGTACAACCTTATTTCTCACCTTGCAGTCTTTTGGGAATTTTGCTTAGGTTCATGGACTAAAAATATTTGGTTCTTTGAAGCCAGGGTAGACACGAAGAAAAGTGAGTAGATTAACATATAGAGCAAAGCAAGCTCTACAAGAAGTAGAGTGGAGTAGAAACTTCCGTAAAAACCTTATTCCCCTTAAAGTTGGAAGCCAAAGGAAATATGAAAGACGGTAAAATCGTCTTTAAATTCCCAGGTATGTACTCTGCACATGAGACACGTCCAGTGGGATTCTTTCAAATTTCGTAATACTTCCGGTACATGCTATAGTATCACGCAAGAGAACCTCGGGTTTGCTTTGGCAAATGCATGCCGAATTCTATTCTCTTGATTTCTAGCTATGAAATCACGAAAAAACCATGATTTGGAAGTGATAACTGTTCAAAATGCTAAAAATTACAGAAATGAATGAGATAAATTTCAATGAATGCAATTGACGCACAGTTTGGTCGAAAAACTTGAATAATAGAGATGACTTCAAAGTTTTCTTGCTCATAAAAGAGTAAGAGTGTCTAGAACAGAAACTTTTTTTACCGCAATTTACAGGATGTTTGAAAAGTTCGTGGCCTAAAGTACTTCCAATTCGAATTTTGACGCGTTTTTTGCTATATGTGTTCTCCAAACCTTGAAACCACTGAATCAACAAAGAAAAATATTTTTTGCCTCAAAATACCCTAAAAAATTTGGAAGTAAACAATTTTTTCAGCTTCCTTGGAGAGTGCGTCATCTGTTTTGTTCTTTTTTTCCAACGCCGGAAAAGGCAAACAGCTTCTGGTTTTTTTACTACAAATAGTCCTAGATTTACACTTTCTTTATATAACAAAAGTTCTACATTAGCATGCTAACAAAGATTTTTTATGCGCTGAATCACAGCAAACAGGCGCGGCACCCTGTTTGCGCTGAAATTTTTTCAGTTTGAAAAAATTTAGAAGTCTTATTTTAACATGTATTTATAGCACAACTCTCTGGCCTTCGTTGTATTCGTTGTCGAGAAATTTGCACGCTTGCAAAGGTTTTTAAGATAAGATATAAAAATTTCGGTGCTGGACTTTTTGACAAAAAGATCCTGAAAGTGGATCTCTTGGCTTTCGGGTACGATATTTTTCAAACAAACTTACTTCTACGAAAGTGAGAGCACACTTAAGAAACTTTGAAGAAAAGGCTTTAAGAAGGTATACTAAGTTTTCTGAAAATTATGTTTCCTTTTTTGTAACAAGCGTTTTGAGGGAAGGGGTTTGGAAAGCTATTCTGATGTGTTTCAATCTAATAAAAAATCAAAGAAACCACAAAAAAATCTAATTTTTACAGAAGTGATGGTATTTAGGTCCGATGAGCACAATAAAACAAAAAACGCATCAAAATTCGAATTAGAAGTACTTTAGGCCACGAACTTTTCAAACACCCTGTATATACATGTAATAATGAGGAGACCTGCTAGAATAACAAGCAAGCCGTGATGTTAAAAACATGATTCGCAACAAGCATGGTTGAGCTACGCGGTCATAAATCTAGCAAATGACTAAGGGCTCGATGACATCGCAACTGGTTTCGGTGGGGTTGCTAAGATTGGGAATTCGAGTTGTACGCTGCCCCGCCGTGGAATACTTATAGCATGACCGCGTAGATGCGCGGGCCAGCTATAAATAACAGTTTAATATAAGCAAAAGCAGATAAATTGCCTCTTGGACGATAAATAAATTTATTATTTGTCAAAAAACTGGAGTTCACTAAAAAGGGTTGCATCGCCATTCTGGTGACAGAGTGGACGAATTCTGAATCCAAGGGCACCCTTCGACTCAGCTAGGCTAGGCGCATTTACTGATATATAGAAGTGTCCGCTTGTATGAAAGGAGCACGATAGGCGGTCCATTTCACGAATCTTCAAAAAAATTTCCCTACGTTAAGTTATTCAGTGTGTAATGAATACACTAACTGAGTAACCTGAGTATGTAAGAATTCAAAAAATTCGTGAAATCTGACCACCTTCTCTACTCAAATGGGCACTTCTATATAAGAAAAGATGCGCTACGCCTAGCTGAGTCAATGGTGCTCTTGGATTCAGAATTCATATACTTTGAACCTACAAAAACTGGAACTATTTTCAGTAAGTTGGTGCAAAGTTTATTGCATCAAACTTTTTTCTTCATATTTAGCAAACTACTGAGAATTTTTTTCATGCTCTATCTAATCATGGGAAAAACAGGCTTTGCCTCATTTGTTAAAGATTTACAGAGCTTCGCAAAAGTGCACTCAAACCCAAAATTTCATTGCATTTAGTTTTCTGGCTAGAATTCATGCTCAAATAATGCCATTTATTCGAAAATTCGGCTACTACTGCAGTATAAATTATCTACATTAAGCGCACTTGACTACATTTTTTTGAAAACATCTAGGCTGAGATATTGGCACTTCAACATGAATAGTCGTTGCGACCATTCTGTGGCCCATTGATTTTTCTGTAAGCATGAGGGATCGATCATACCTCGTCGCGCTTGATTTTCAATTGCTACGATTGTTCATAATCTTCCGTAGGCGCATACTCTGTAAGCAAGATTTGGCATGTACGCATAAGATTACAAAAGCCTTGCGCCTGCGCACGAGTTCCACACGCGGTACATTTGCGGATATCTGGCGAATTGCCATACGCGTATCGCCGCGACTCTGGACAAATCGGGCGAGGTATATTCGAGATTTTCGAGGCCTAAGGGTAAGGCCTCCTGTGGAAAGTTTTTTTTTTTTCAAGAATGCGTAGCTGTTTGGTACGCAGAAAATCAAAGAAGTCCACAATTTAGGACTTTCATGCCTACGAAAAAATGCTGGAAGTGACAACTCTGATTTTTGATTTTTATATTCTTCCGCAAATCTTCTTTGTTCAAGCCTTTTTCAGCTTTGTTTGCACTATTGGCTTAAGGATACGAGATAACATTCAGGCTAGATATCATTTATACTAACAAAATTTGAAAGGAGTTATGATATTATCAAAAACGAATCAGAGAGAAACTTTTTCTTAGTCTGTATTGTCCTGGCCTTTTGTGATATGAGCAAAGATGAATGTGCGCTGTATATCCGTCAAAATCTGACTTTTTTAGAAATCTAGCACCTCTATGTGCTCGCAAAACACTCATTAATGTCGACCAAGCAAACAGAAATGTCCTTTCACTTGAAATCCGGGTAGAGCAGGTGATAAATCC